GGCTGCAAACCTGAAGGTTGGCAGTTCAAAACTACCAACCATTCCATAGGAGAAAGATGAGGATTTCTGCTACCGTAAAGAATTACAGCCCAGAAACCCTATACAGGGTTGCCACGAGTTGGAACCTACTCTAAGGCACAAAACAACAACAATAACCTAAAATAAGGGGGTGATAAAGGCATGCAGTGACTGGCTTATAAGTTTTCAAGAAGAAATTTAGTTTAAGAGTGTGTGTGGGAAGGTAGAGTCCCCATTGAATAGTTTTCATCTTGTCTAGATGAGTCTGGTAAAAAGAGATGGGATAAGATTCTTATGATTCAATAGAGACAAATTGTTATTATGACTAATTGCGACTGTCACAACTGTAAAGGAAGAAGTTTTGTAATAAAAATGGGGGAGTAATTAATCTTACAGTACAGAAACAGAGGACCCTAGGACCATCAAGAGAGAAGAGCACAAGCAGAGTGTGGGATCCTATCCATCTCTACCTTAGATGAAGGCAGAGATGAGGACATGGAGAGGGGGAGCAGCTGAGGACTCTGGACTCATGGAAAGAAAGGGACTGGGTGCTGGCAGCCAGGAGGCAGGCTTGCAAAATGTGCTCTTGGGTTGTTTTAAATTATTATATATTTCTGTGTACATCCCACCCCCCCCCAAAAAAAAAGAGTCTGTGTTAGTTGCCATGGCTAATTGATATCTCAGTAAGACCTCAGAATTAAAGTCATGGCAGGTCACACACAAAAAAGTAAGTAAATAAAATGTGTTTTAAGAAAAATAAAATAAATAAGAATAAACCTAACTATAACCATAAAAACTAGACTAAACCTTACTTGTAACCATAATCCTACCCTTACCCTAACACTAACCCTAGTCCTAACCATAACCCTAACAATAAATGAAGCCCTAGACTAGCCTAGATCTAGTCATAGTCTCAACCTTAACCCTCACTCCTTACTCCTACCCACCCACCAAAAAAATCCTTGATTTGTAACCTGAACTTAAAAGTTCCACTGTGGAATCAAGCTGCAGCTACTCTCCACAGAACTTTGTCTAAAATTGCACTCTTGCTTGCTTGTTTTTCCTTCCCAGACCTATTTCCCCCACCCCACACAGATTTCCCTCTGGAAAAAACTCCTTGATAAATCATTTGACTTGAGTCCTCATCTCAGAGTTTGCTTTTGGAAACCAGTCAAGACATCAGCTCAACCCTCATGTCTTCTATCACCCTGCCTTAAAAAACTTCTAAGCACTTTTATATGTATGAAATGTATTAACCCAGTAATTTCTCACAACAACCCCCATGATGTAGGTCCTTCAACTATATCAATTTTGTAAATAAGGAAACATAATACAGAAAAAGGGCAAGTAAAGGTAAAGTAAGTTGATCAGTGCTAGAGAGTGACACAACTGCATACTGTTATCCTGCCATTCTCTTGCCCATTCCCTACCCAGATGTGAGCTTTTCAAGGCAGGAACTTTGATCACACCTATTGGCACCATCACCACTTCTTTACAAGGTAGAACCCTTTACAAGGGTTTCAAAAATAGAGAAGGAAGGAAGGGAGACAAGGAGGAAGAAAGGAAGGAAGCAAACAATTGACCTTGAACATTTGTTCAACAGCTGCCTGGAACATCTAGATTAGGCAGATAATTTCTTTACCTACCAAGGTGCCCTCACTCATGACCTTAAAAACTGACATTACAAGTGTCATTCTTTCTCAGCATCACAACCTTGAATATTTAAAACCCACATGACCAACTTTTCTTTCACCAACTCCACATAACTATTCTTACACACAAACTCACGTTCCAAAATGGCTATTAACACAAATCATCAGGAACAATGATAATATCTATAGCTTACTGAATGTTTACTATGTATCAGACTTTGTATTGTACTACAGAAATCCTCTGCAGCATGTACTATTATTATCCTAGGTAGTAGAAGAGGAAATTTAATATCAGGGAACTCGGGTTATCTTCCTGATGTCACACAGAAAGAAAGAGGAGATGGGATTTGAACCTAGCTTTATCTGACTCATTCTGATAACCCAAAGGTCATAAACCTTTCAGTTAGCATCCCAGTGCTTTTTAACCACTGCACCACTAGGGTTCCCTAACTACCAGTAGTTTGGAGACTTGTTACTATGTAATATATATATGTAATGCCTGTGTTTACAAAGATATATGTAACTGTACATAGACAAAGAGACAGTTGTTCAAACAGAACAAGGGAACACCAAATGGTTTAAAGTTAGGAAAGGTGTACATAAGTGTTGTATTCTTTCACCATACTTATTCAGTCTGTATGCTGAACAAATAATCCAAAAATCTGGATTCTATGAAGAAGAATATGACATCATGATTGGAAGAAGAGCTGAAAAGAATTTTTTCCCTATTAGTAGGGCACTCTCTTAAAAGTTTACCTCAAAAGC